CAGACCTGAACCCCAACTGACCTTCCTTTCCTTTTTTTTTTTTCTTTTTCCTCTTGTTGTTTCCTTGTGCTTGTATTGATTGTTTGTTTGCTGATTTGAAAAGTTATTCCTCATTGTGTACAATGGTGGCTGGTGTTGAGGCAAGGCTGAGGTAGTATTAGCTGACGCTGGTAGGAGTCTTGTCTGTACAGTTTGAGCAGTGGAAGAAGAAGATGTTCTCATGAACTTTAATATATGTTAAAGATTCCACAAACTATATGTGGAATTATGTGTCTTGATCGAGAGCTTGCTCCATTGCCAGCAGCCATTTTGTGTGCTATACATCATGTGATCATTTTGGTGGCAAATGACGACATGGCATGTTGGGTATTCTCGGCTTGAGGAAAAAATTCTTGACTGGCTGTCAGAATTCGACTGGCTGTCAGAATTCAACTGGTTGGAAAAATTACAGACTTGAAGAAATAATTCTCAACTAGGCAAAAAAGCTGCTTGGCTCGAAAAAAAGTTCTCAACCACTTTTGTCCCTTATGGCTTGCCATAAAAGGAGCAGCAGTGAATGGTGGAGTAGAGAGGAAATGAAGGTATGGTGAGGGTTCAGCTTTGACACATGTCCCACTCCTAGTGTCAATTAGGCGTTGTCTGTCCAGATCCATTAACAATTTGTGTTGCAACAGAAAATCAGTGCCAATGATAGGTTAAGTCACATCAGTTCCTAGAAATTGCCAGGTGAGGGGATGAGGGAGCCCAAATTCAAGGATTTACTGTCACAAACTGTTGGTGTTTGATAGAATTATTCTCAGCTTGCCATGTGACATCACTTTTCTGGAAACAATGCGACAGTCCAGCCAGAAACATGCTAATGGCAGCTCCAGTGGCAATTAAAAAATGTAGTCGAGAATTCTTGTCATACAATTGGAGGAGAGAAGATGAGCCAGTCACTAGAGCTGCATTCACCAGCTGACAGTCAAGTTTCCCTGTTGCTGTCAAAACTTGCATGGCTCACAGCCATGGGTCAAATTGCTCGTTGTACCAACAAATGTCTGGTTGGGAGTGAGATCATTGTTGTTCAAGCAATGATGGAAGGGACTGCAATGTTTTCCAGATTTCCTGTAGCTCAGCTTGTATTAAGGTAATTTAGGAGACACTCTGCTGGAGTTAACAGTGCTTGAGGACCTTGCAGTTTGTCTGCCATGTTGGGGAGGTTACTGAGACTGGGATCTTTGTGCACCACAAGAGTCATGCGAACCGTGAGGGGAAGCTTCTGCAGCTAAAGCTCACGAAAAATCTCATCAGTGGCAGAAGCTGTTAATGTACCTCTGCAAAGTTTTGACATATGCCGTCAATGTTGTGATGGCTCCCAATTTGCCAAGGTCTTCAACATGTAACAGCTGCTGTAATCATTGTCATTTTGAAGGGCAGACACATTTTTGTAATTTGGCTTTCAGTGCTGAATAAGGAGCCTCTGGTAGCTGGTCACTTATATTCTAACTTGCTCCCCCACTCAAACGAACATAAAACATTTATCATGTTATAAGCAACCATAGTTAACGTGTGTCAACATCAGCTGTGTGCGACCCTCTTTATTATGTCTTGCAAGCAAAATTGCAAATACTCTGAAAGGCTCAAAATATAACCAGCAAACAGTTAATAATACAATAAATGCTCTGACTCTTATGCATACTCTTTGTAAAATGTATTTGAAAAACACAGACTCATGCATATTCTTGTAAATATGTATATGAAAAACTGACAGCAAAACTACAGACTTCCAGTGTCCATGTCTTTTAAATAGTCTATCAGTGACTCAGGCATTAAGCAGCTGCAGTGGCACTTTCAGTTCTAAGGCCATGTAAACTTGGGAAGCTAATAGAAACAGAAATGCTTAGCACTATTTCACATGCTCTAGTACAAGACAAAGGTGAAGAGCCATCTTCATCTCATCTGAAAAGGAAGCAACTGAAAATATTGCCGAGCTAACAAATCAGGACAAGTACGCTTGTACTCCACCAGGAAATGAGGGATGCTTGAAAACTGATATTATAAGTTGGAGAACAAACAAAATTATTTTCGCTCTTTCCGAAAATTTGTTTTCAACTAGCCCATTCTTTCGTCTTGCTTTTGTGGGACTTTACATGTCCACATCGCTTGATTCCCACATCTTGGCAGTAACACAAACACCAGTAGTACTATAATGGCACCCTGTTTATCGAATCATTTAGTGAATTAAAGCTTAGATCCCTTGGAAGAACAGAGAAAAGACAACTTACACACATCTAGGATCTATTCATGCCAGATTCATAGCGGTGGTGGTCCTTGAGTGTTAAGCTGGCACATTTCACATCATATAGAAATTGACAACTCTGACATCTTACAACTCTATGCATTCTAGCAACTGTTCTCTTGCTTGTGTTACATTTTAGCTTGTTAATGTTTCTGGCACTAGTACCTGGACCTAGTACCCCACTCAGGGCCAATCTGGTTAGCTGGAAGCTGGCCACTGTTTTTGGGTGATGACTTGACCTTGTGCTCAGATAGACTTTTCCCTTGCCTTTAAATCCAAGGTGGCGGCTGTGGCTGCTACATGTTAGATGACAAAATTCGATGTAATTAGGTCCACAGGTAGTGAAAATTGACATTCTAGTAATTTCTGATGCATTAAGATAGCATTTGGGGTATTCAGGAATCATTAACTGATAAAAATTGGCTAAAAATAATAAATGTTGTGAGACTCAAAAGTTTCAGTCTGACCACCATAACCACAGCTGACCATGACGTGAATGAATATGAATGAAAGCAATGTAGTCTATATACCAGCTCTCTGCTAATGAAGCAATTCTAACGACATACCATACATTGCCCCACACAATGGGTTACATAACCATGATTAATTCATGTACCTCTGAGGCGTTTTAGGCTGGAAAAACTTGAACAACATGATTTAATTTTGTCTTCTGTTGGGTGATATTTTGTGCTGTGAACAACGTCTCAGCTTGTACAAACCAAAGCTCAGAGTCTGACAGCCACAAATCCAGTAGTTTCAGCAAAACAGCATTAGCAATTGTTTTTGGCAGTGGCAAATGATCAGCTTCATTGGGCATGAAGTCACCAATTTAGTGTTTAAAATAGGCAAACGCCAATAAGAGTTAATCTTCTTTATTTGCAAACAACAATGCTCATTCCTTGATTCTTTGCTGGAAGGCACATGTTTGCCAAATAACAAAGTCGTGTGGTTATTTTTCAGTCCGTTTATTCCATTTCACATGTAGAACAACTTTCTCTGTCTTGACATGGAATTAATGCTTGGTGTTTGGCTGTGACAACAGCAGAAAAAAGAAGATTGCCCGCATGCAAAGCTTAAAAAAGTCTCATTCAAATGAAAGTGTACCCAAAAGAGGAAATACCCAGAATTAAAAAATGTTTCATTCTTCCTCTTTCCAAAAGAAGCAGAACTAGGAAGAAAATGGTTTAATTTAAAGAGGGTAAGACATCAAAAGCGTAAGGCAAATTATCTTAAATAACCATTTAAGCTAGCTATCTGACCTAACGTGAAATCTAACAAAGCTGTAGTTAAAATCTGTTGTGGCCACATGCTAGAGATTCAAAATGTGTCTTGCCTCGTAAAGTTTATAGCCCTGTAAGCCTTTGTAAGCTTTTCATCCATTGTGATCATAGCCAGCCTTCATAATCATAAAGTTGTATAAATCTGCGTGCATAAACATTGGAGCATTTGTAAACTCAGTGGACCATCCCTGTTTGATGGGTGATACCAGTAGTAGATGGCCCTGATCTGGCATATGATCAGATGGGATAAGCTCTGATGTATCTTTGCTATCTGCAGAAATTTCTTACAGGTGTCATTTCCAGGCTTGAAAGTTGCTCGTTGTTGTGCACTTTGCCCAGATCACTTGTTTGGATGCCTTGTAGTGCTAAATATTTTATTAAAACAACTCTTTGTGGGCCAAAGTAATTCCTATCAATTTCCTCTAATTATTTTTCTTCAAGATTCCACATAAACACACCAAAGCCACCGTTTAAGGCGGAATCTGAAGTCTGAAGTCAGAAGAACTTGAGGCTGCCATGTCTTTCTGGCCCTAATTTGCCTTGACTTTGTGCTGGTCTACAGTATTGTATTCAGCGGTGTTGCGAACATTGTCACTCAAGAACTAAGGAATGTTGGGGGTCATCAAAGCTTCTTTTAAACCATTTTCAAACCATTTTCTGGAATATTTTTCAAGTAGAATTTCATGATGAAGACTGACTTTGTCTCTACATGTTCGGTTTCGTAGAAAACTCAGAGTGTGGAAAATGAGGGTGTAGAAAATGCAGAGTGTAAAAATATCCAAAAGAAAAAGATACAAAAATATATACAAGTATAAAGCTTGTATTGAAGAATAATATTTAAAGGTATGCAAGTAATAAGAAAAGAAGTGTGGAAAATGAGAATTGTGGGAAATGCAGCGTATAGAAAATGATTTAATGAAAGGTCATATCAAGTATTTTTCCTTTCTTGAATTATTATGTCATTGAATCATTGGTTAGAACAGGAACAAACAGGCAAAAAAAGAACAGCATTATTTTCTATAGATCGTTTTCACGTGACGTCACAGAATTAATTTCCGCCATGTTGGTGCACATCCGAGTCGCGTGTTTCAGTAAGAAATATATGCAAACAGAGTCCAAAGTTATAATTCTTCTCAGTTCACAGTCGAAAATTATGGCTTCCGAGGAAGAAAAAAAATTCTTCGTCTGATCCTTACAATGTTGTTCAAATTCCACTGTCTGATTACGCTAAAAAGCTGGATGGGAAAGTCAGAGAGCGCTACGTTAAGAAAATCTTTACGATTGGAATCGATCCTGCCTTGATACAGGGGAAACACTTCGAACCTGACTGTCTTCCGCTGGTTGAATCGACAGATTTACTCTGTTATTTGGTTCTTGAGACCAGCTTTTACACGCAAAAGCAATTTAAAGCCTTTCGCAGTCTGGAAGCTTGTAATCAAATGGTTTCGGGGTTTGTTTACAACGTGCAAGGGCATATGGTCGCAAGCAAGTTTGTCGTGTTGGCGAAAGTGCGGCACTCTCAGCGGATGACCGAGGCCTTGATTCCAATCTGGATCATTACCGAGAAAGATGGAACAATAAACTGCGCGCATTGTCTTGGATGCAAGGCTGGACTTGCTGAATCATGCTCGCATATTGCTAGCATGCTTTTTTACCTTGAGGCCTGGACAAAGGTGAATGGAAGGCTGGCGTGCACGCAAATGAAGTGCAGCTGGATACTGCCAAGCTTTGCAAGCCAGGTAGAATATGCTAGGGTCTGCGACATAAATTTTAAATCAGCCAAGAAGTTAAAAGTGGACCTAGACGAAATGATTGAAAATCTTTCTGAAGAATTAGAGCTTTCTGGGATCTCTAAGCGCCAAAATGAAAGCGCTGTTCCCAAACCGGAAGTGCCAGCACCATCACAAGCGGAAGTGGAAGAATTTTATTCTAAACTAAGTAAATGTAACTCAAAACCTGTTGTGCTGAGTTTGGTTCCCCCATACGCTCAGAGTTATGTGCTACCGAGCCGAAATATATCCACTGTGATGGATATGTTCAAAAAGGAGAACTTGGAACTCTCTTGTAATGAACTATTTAAACTGTGCCAGAGCACCAGCATTGAGATTACAAAAGAAAAATTGATCAGGTGCAAAAAGGCACCATTTCACATGAAAAAAACACACACAAACTTTAAGGTTATCAAATGTGGTCTCTTTATTAATGAAGAAAATCCCTGGATGCACGCCACCCCAGATTTTTTATGTTCATGTGACTGTTGTGGGGAAGCCTGTGGGGAAATAAAATGCCCCCTATGTTTGGAAAACTGTTACTTTGATTCATATGTTTTAAAGCCTGGCTCCTGTCTTGAAAAGAACAGTAGTGGGGAATTCGTACTGGTATACACACATGAATATTACTACCAGGTGCAACAACAGCTTTTCACTACCAAACTGAACTATAGTTACTTTGTTGTCTGCAGTGTAAATGAAAATCAAATCAAGCTGGTCTTTTTCTCCCAGATAAAGAGCGCTGGGACAGAGTTTTACCTAAATTGCACAAATTTTGGAGAATTTGTGTCTTGCCTGAGGTACTTGCTCGATGGTACACAAGAAGAGAGAATGTTACTGTAGATGGGGTTTCCCTAGGTAAGTAAGTAAGTAAGTAAGTAACTTTATTTAACCACATATCGCATATGAGTGAATAGCTCGTTTAAATGCAAATGTGCCATAAAAATTTGACATAATTTACATGTATAAGTAATAGGTAAGAAATAAAAATTAATTATCTAGAATGAATAATTGCTATTAAAGTAATCAATAATTTAATAAAAGGGAATATCGGTGACTAGACTATTTGTTTACAAAACAAACAGCTGCAGTCATACGATGAGGACAACTGTATGTCTTGCAAATTTTCCCTAAATATAGAAAGAGATTCCCACATCCTTATTTTGTCTGTCAGATTGTTCCATTGTTTGCTCGCCTGGTACATAAAAGAATGTTGCATATAAGATGAGGTTGGTCTTGGAAGAACAACCTTAAGATGGCCACGTAGGCTGTAACCATTACTTCGCAGAGAAAACATTTCCTGAATGTAGTTCGGTGTCTGGTTATGAATACTTTTATATACAAGTATAAGTGCTTGTTCTATGCGTCGATGTTCTAAACTTTTAATATTTGCAGTTTTCAATAACTCTTCGTAAGCAGTCGATTTAGAATAATTGAGAAGAGTCCTCAGAGCGAATGCGTTGGTTGACTCCAGTTTCGCAGACAGACCCTTACTTAGACCTATAAACAGTGGTGATGCATATTCGAAGTGAGGGAGAATGAAAGCTTTGTACAATTTAATCATCACATCTGAGGGTATAAATTTATGAATGCGACGGAGAATTGAAACTTTTGTGTTTACTTTCTGGCAAACTTCTTTAATGTGTACGTTGAAAGAGAGTGAATTGTCGATGACTACTCCAAGAAGCTTGATATGTGTAACATAATCCAGTTCATTACTGTCAATAACAAAGGGCATTGGTAAAGTTGCTCTGTTGAAAACTATGGATTGAGATTTACTATGATTGATCACCAGAAAGTTCTCACAAAACCAGGAAGCGAGTAGACCAACGTTGTTTTGTAGATTTATTTGCAAGGTAGATGGACAAAGGTTTGAAGAGTACCCAGTAGTGTCATCAGCATAAAGTCTTAAAGAGCACGAAATATCTGAAAAATTCACATCATTCATTTATATATTGAAGAGAAGGGGGCCCAAGATTGAGCCTTGAGGAACTCCACACCTCACAATTTGCCAATCCAAAAAGATACCGTTAGTCTTGACATGTTGCTTACTGTCAGTCAAGTAAGAACGTAGCTACCACTTCAACTTCTTTTGTAAAACATTCTTCACATGAGTCACTGGAGGAAAATGACTTGCGGCATGGCCATAGTTATCCACAAAAAGTGCTCATCAGAAATACGGAGTGAGTTCTGACTCAGATAAAATTTACTCTGTAAACCTTATTTACAAAATATAAAAAATAATTGTAAGTACCTGGACATTAGTTACATAGAAAAAAAATCATTTTATTTAAACAAGAGTATCTGTGGTAATCCAACTACTTTATATAAAGCAGGATGTAGTGATAGAGCAGTTTTCAACTGTGTCGTAAAACCAAAACCAAAGTAATTACTCTGGCCAATCACAAAGGATGCAGAGCAATTCATTGTCCAATCAAGACTCAAAGTATTTACACAAAATGCAGAAAAACTTGCGTGAGCAACTCACGATTGGTTTTGGTTTTACTTGTGATTTGTTTTGGGTTAAGAAAGTGGCGGAAATTTTCTAAACCAATCACAAAGCATAGTAAACGCAACACCAAAGTAAACGCTTTCAACACTCAAGTGAAAACCGTTCTAAGAAACCCCATAATAAGAATAATTATTCAATCCAGAGGTACAATACCATTGGAAAGGTTTGTCAAAGCAGCACAAACCGTAATAATTCTGTCAATCATAGGAATTTTAGCCTCTTGGGAACCATTAGGGTCACACTGCAAGAAGTCAATTGGCAAAATTCCAGAAAGAATTGTGTACTTTCTCCTCAAAAGCCCAATTATCCTTTCCACGTGTATTCAGACATTTGCAATGCCACGGGTTCCCTCAACATCTACTGGGTCCAACTGGTCCTTTCCTCTCGTAAATGTTGGAATTGCAAGTTTGGCTCTGTGGAATATCAGGCTTTCCTGGATATTAAATCCACGATCAGCCATTACCAAATCTCCAGGAAGAAGCTTCTTAAGAATTCCACAATTGTCAGTGAGAAACTTGTCGGATGTTCTGCCACCCCAAGCATTTAACGCAAATGAAATACTCCCTTGTGAAGTTATTCCAACCAATATTTTTACGGTGTTGTGATTTTTATAGTTGGAATAAGTTTGTGCTCTGGCCATGAGATTGGACGGTCTATTGATGAAGACCTCAAAGCAGTCAATAATTACTGTAGTTTTGTTGCCAAAGGCAACTTGAAAGCATTGAGGCATGGTCTGCCGTAAGTCCTCATGCTCTGGCCACCTTATGAGAGAGGCTAATCTAGCATCAAGGACGACCATCCATGCAGAGAATGTCCTTGAAACTGTTGAAATGGAGATACCAAAGCGGTAAGCAAGATCCTGCATTGGCATGTTCAGTTTAAGTTTCATTAAAGTGAGAACAAATTCTTGAAACTGACAAAGTTGGCGACTTTCTTAACACGAATTTCGAAACACTGTAAAACTGTTTGCAGGACATCATAAGCAGGCAATCCAGTGTAAAATCTCACCACGTTGTCATTTGCGAAGTAAGTCTCATCGAATGGTGGTTTGGCAGTTGAGGTGTGAAATAAATAATCGAACTCCTCAATTTGAGTAGCTGTCCCTGTTTCAGTTTCCACTTCCATTGCTGAGTCCAAATTGAAAGAAATGTCACTGGCCTTTTCCCCTGGTTCGCAAATTTTTTGTCGCTTGGCCTCGATTTCTTCCCTGAGCCGCTTTTCATTTTCTGCCGCAACACGCTTCATCTCACAATCTCTGACCCTCTCGTCTCGTTTCCTGGCAGCTTCTAGATCTGCTTGAAGCTTTTCTGCGGCATCACATTTATTATGGCCTAAATTCTGGGTTGGAATCCAATCTGAATCATACCTATCCTACAGTTTTGCAGCTTTCCCTGAGATAAAATGTCTACCACAGACTCGTCCGTGCTCCAAAATGCTGTATGTGAGGTCTTTTCGGCTGATGGCAGATATCCATTTTTTTCGTCTTTCCTCGCTAAGAATTCTTATTTCGTCGCCTTTATTCACTACAACTGAAGGAATTCTTGCCATATAAACTCCTTTATCACGAACAGTTCGGGTTCCACAGCCAAAAATCGCACACAAAACCATTTTTTAGAGCTCACGCGATACGAGTTCACTTTTTACATGTGCACCAATATGGCGGCCAATTGTAAAGTGGTCACGTGACTGAAAACGATCTATTAAGGATAATAACAAACCGTCCATTTTCTTGGAAAAAAGATACATCATTGCATTTTCACTGAGCCAGTTTGGAAATAGAAAGTGGAACGGGAAATGGTTTTACATCTCATTTTGTGCGCAAAACAGAAAGACTTTGATGTTGTGTCAAAAACTCAGTCAACAATGTGAAAGTAGAAACAAATTTCATGCAAGAGATTTGAGAAGTCTGCAATAAGTAAGAAACAAAGTTAAGCTTTAAAGTTCATTGTCTGACTCAGTCATTTAAGTCCTTTGTTTCTTCTGTGGTTGGGGTAGAGAATTCTCACTGTCTTTGGAGAAGAAATTGGAGGTGCAGCCTGTGTAATTCTGTGATGGAATAGGAGCAGCACAACTGAAGACTTTCATGTGGTACTGAGACTGCAAACGAAAATGTGGTGAAAATACTGAAATGTCAGTTGGCTGAAAACCAGGATTGGAGCCTATGGCCTGATGCATTTGGCCTTGTTGTTGGATGTGATAGATAGGAACCAGAGATGTTGGTTGATGTTGGACTGCAATCTCTTGATCTGAGGCTTGATTTATAGTGTTTTGGTTGGAGACTTTTTTAAATTTTCATTTGACACTTCTTTATATCCTTTGACTCTTGTCTATTTCTTTGCAGTGGCCTTATGAAAATTCAAGAGTATGGCCTGTTATTTCACAGATGACATTGCGTAGTTGACAAGACTTCCTCAATTTTGACACAAATATTTTCCTTATGCTGTGGTTTGTTAACTTCTTATTTTCCCTGAGACAGGAGCCCATGAATTTGATTTTATTGCCAATGGTGGTTTGTGCCATTTGAACTTTGGTGTACCAAACATCTGCTGATTTAAGACGATTTATGATGCTTAGATAGAGTGGCCTTGTGCTCTTCATTTGTTCAGGTTGCTTGGACAAAAGCTTGAATAGCTGTGCTGGATCACTTTTTCCACCATACATGCTAAACATTACTTGTGGTGTTCTTCACGTGATGGTGAGACCATTGCTTCATGTTTTAGTGGGACCCTCTAGGAACAACAGCTTCAGATCCATCTTCTTGCTGTCTTATAATGATATCTTCCACGCATGTGTCTTAGTGTTCTTTGTGACCACAAAATCCCAATCATTTAGTCAAGTTTTTGAATTCTACATTTGTCAAGACCTTTCGAATAAAATCACTCAATTGACCTTTTTCCCTCAGGGCTGACTCTTCTTCATGTGTGAGTGGCTGAGCTTTGTTGGGTCTCTTTCCCTTTCCTTGTTGATGCAGAGAAATTGCTTTCACATTGAGGGTGACTAGCAACCGTTACCACCATTACAATATATAAATTGTTGAACCATAACCTCAAATAGCTGCAGTGATTTTATTATTCACAGAGAAGTTAATGAACATAATATCTTTGTTGGACTACGGGTGTGTTTGTATTTTTGAACTACAAACCATGAGCTTTCCAATGAGTAGAGCTATAACTTACAAGTTTTTTAAAGAGCCAGCCATATTAAAAATTACCTGGGT